CTCTGGTAGTCCACCTAAGTTTGAGACACCGTAAAAGGTACCAGATCATTGATTATGACCCCTGAAAGGTACGACAAGCATCCTCACCCATCTCCGATGGCCCGAAATAATCGAGCACAGCCTTAATGGAAGAAAAAACATCGGGCAATTGGCAAAAGCCCCCCCCCCTCCTCTCCCCGCATCAAAAATCTAATGATCCGTCCCTAAGGGACCTTTCACATAGTTCCAAAATGGGTTTCGTTCCGCAACGAAGTGAATTTCATACCACGTTTACATGCAATATAATTTAGCTTGTAAAAACAAGTGTTAACGTCCTTTTTCTATGCTTCCCTCGCTCCCAGAGAAGATTCATACAGATATGAGTGTCGTACCGCGTTTACTTTATACGAGTTCAAAAGGTCTTCCAGAACAAGTGTTCTGGAATGATAACCTCAATAAACTCATTCAGAAATGACTCGATCGTTTCGAATAATTTTACTCTGTTATCATATGGCAACCGGGATGAACTCGTTCTTGAGCAAAACTCATTCCGATATCGTGTAAAAGGCCCCTAAGAGTTTTTATTCCCAGAGCATCACGCTTTTCTCTCTTGCCAGAACACTATAAATTTCAATAGCTTTGAAGCAACAACCCGCTGTTAACTGCTACACTGCTACTGAAACAACGATTAGTGGCCACAAAAGTAACATACTGTAATATTGTCAATTCAACATGAACAAAAATCTTCATGCAGGGTAAATACTCATTATTCATTTGTGTTGGTATCAATAATTGCGTGACTAGCTTATGATATAAATGGGGTATGGGAAAACACAACGTAAAACCTGGGCTCCTGTCAAAAAGTAATACCCAAGCGTAATATGACAACCGAACCAGCTTATTGGTCTTATAAAATCATAAATAAACAAGATAAGAGTGTTATGTTAGATTTTTTTACAAATTGTAGTTATTTATGTCAATAAACGGTGGCGACAAGTAGGCACACCATGTATATTTCATAGTCACTAGCAAGTAAATTTTGCCGGACTTTGAGTTCGTCTCACGATAGAACAACACAAATACACAAGGAAATTTTTACAGTAACTTTATAACCATCCTTTTGTATTTTAAAAGATAGAAGCTCAGTAGATTGTGTCATATCGGTCATTGTTAAAAATGTCTTTGTTTTGATGCTACTTTTCGGTATAGAAAAAGTATGTCGACAAAAATATTCACCAAAAAGACAATATTTCTTTGCCAACTTCAATAATGACAGGGGATTAAATTTAGATGATAAAACAAAGGATTATGTTGACAGAAATACCGGAGGTCAAGTAAATTCGTTACATGAGGTCACACAACTCTTGTAACATTCACGGTGAAAATTTGCATATATTTGAGCGGTCGAACGAAAAAACAATTTTTCGAAAACTAAAATATATTTTCACAAAAAAACCACACCACAATTATTAGGACATATTGGGCTACAAAATATGAAAGTAGGAGTGAAAGCAAATTTTGGGTGACTTGCCGCTGTTTGTGTGATGCATGTTGACATTAGCTCTTTTTAAAAGAACTTTAAAGTTATATCATGGGGTAAAAAAGGAAAAGCGAAACATTTCTATTTTAGCAAGAAGTCTGTCATCATGGGCCTATTTATGCGACTTAACTTGCCACGAGTCTCTTATAGATCAGTGGTAGAGCGTCCTCTAGCACAAATTGGAAGGTCTTACATTCGAGTCCTATCAGCACTTAGGTTTTTTTTTTCGTTTTTTTTCCCGAGTTTGCCTGTGCCATTCACCGAATAACATCCTTCTTCTTTAGAATCACCTCGCTTAGAATTTTCGATATTCATTTAGATCATCATTGCGCGTAAGAATCACATATCAATAATCATAAAGTTTATCTTCAAAGACATAGTTAAGCGTGCTACCTTGCCACAAGTCTTCTATATCTCAGCGTTGGAGTATTCGAAGTACTGAACGGAAGGTGGTAGTTTCGAGTCCCAACTGGATAAAAATGGTACGCGCTCACTAACTATCTATTCTTATTTAATTTCAAAATCATAATATTGCATTTCTAGTCTTCCGTTTGGTTCTCTCCACTCCGGTCATCATTTCATATACAACCTTCTATGGAGAATGATCCGAATGTCGCTCAGCTGAATCTACTTTTGGCTGGAACCACTTACTTCTTTCTGTACATTAGAAATTAACTAAAGCAAATGCTAGTCAACGTTATATCGGTAACAAAAGGTAAAAGTCAAAAAGTCCAATATGACCTTACTGAATGGTACTCATCTTTGAAGTTTTACTTAAGGAGTTCGCACTAGCTCCGTTCGCACAAAACTGTAGGATAAGGATGAAGTTTTATTGATTTCATCGAATGTTTGTCTCAGTAGGGTTGTAATTGTTAACTCGTATACTCGGAGCGAGAAATTAAGGTCAGGATATTGAAACGAAAGCTATCCTCGGTAACAAGCTTTGCTCCGTTCAAGTGAAACAAAACACTTAAAAAAACTGTGCACAAATTAATTTTTCGCTTGTTGATAGGCTGGAACTCAAACTCACCTAAACGCATGTCTCGTAAGTATTGTATTTCATACCCGTTAACGTTTCTTGGTCGGAGATTACTTTACATCGCGTCCGGCTGTGTAAAATGCTTAGCGTTGAATTTTAATTTACCTTCGGACGTAACTAAAACGTTGCTTATGTGATTCAAGTTTTGTCGTTTTGACAACGGGATGTGACATTGACTTCTCGTGGCTTCAATTTAAAGAAAAACTGAGAGTTAAAACGAACTTAGTAAGCTCCGAAAGCATTATCAAAAAGTGAAAAATTTAATAACTCAACAATTCCATTAGCTCTTGTTGGATACGAGACTGGTATAGCCAACCTATATCAAGTGCGCACTCATAGAACAAGTGTTAAATATAGTCCACATAATATTCAGTAATTGTACTAAAGACAATGGTTCTTCGATTACGGCTTACGTCCATTTTTTAAGCAAGACCGCTAAATTAAAAAATTTCAGAGACTTGGAGTCATCAGCCTGTTCTTGGTGTTTAATTAGTACTGAAAACTGAACGAAATAAACGAGCTGCGCGATAGTTACAGCGAAGCATTACGCGATCCGACCCAAACCTCCCCTGCTTTTTCATATACAGATAGATACCAGTTTTCAAGAAGTTTGTGGACTCCTCGACGTATGAGTGACCAGCGGCTCATTCACGACTAAAGATAAACCTCAAAAGACTTTCAGCTATTCACTTTTAAAGCTAAAAATATTTATATTAGCAGTGCGCAAAAGTTTTTGTGTTCAATATTGTTGACTCTCAGAGAAGTAGGGCAAAGTGAGTAGATAAAATGATTGTTCTTGTTTGTTTGTTTTCTGCTTTGTTTTTTTCTTCATTTTCCGCCACTGTAACCTTCATACTTCTCGTTATATTTGATTAGGAAAGACGTATTCAAAGATTATTTTTAACTTCATCCGCGTGTAGCACCAAGAGCAGCATATCATAATGAATAAGAGACTTTTTTGTTACGCGAAATGTGGTCGGAAGTCGGGAGATCTTTTTCTTAGCACTTTCTACGCATCTTCGGTGTGTACCGTTTAGTTCAAGACACTATGGTAAAACAGAGGCTTCCCAGTTGATCGCCTAGTGTCAAAGCGAACCAGAAGTGATTTAATTTTTGTTTTGTTTTGTTGTTGTTAATGTATTTTCTTTTAGTCCTACCAGACCTTGTATTTGACAAGCTCGACATTTGAAGAAATGTTAGGATAAAACTCATCCCCTCTCAGCAAAAACCTTCAAAAAAATTATATATAAAAATTTCGGTGAATTCGTTTTGCAAAGCTAAGACGACCCCCCCTCCCCTCCATTTCACCCCCTCTCCTCAGTATGCTGGAGCATCATTTTGCTCCCAGAAACAAAATAACGTCAGGGAATATTTCCAAACAGACGCAAAAATCTCCTTCATTTGGATGTTAAGACTATTCCTCATGTGTCCTCTGCTTCTGACTGAAAGAGCGTTGTGTTCATATAAGTACTGTTTCTAGTGCAATTATTTAGTGCAGCTGAGGAAAGAAGGGTTTTGAGCAAAAGGTAACCTAGTTTATAATTATGTAAGATTGATGGACTCTTAACTTATCCTCTACTGAGAGTGACCGGAGAACATGGTCTCTTGGATGTAAGTCTCCTGAAACACGTACAAGCGATTTTTTGCACTTCCGGAAGCTCTGTTACTTTGGTTTGGTTTTGTCCTTCCTTCAAAGGAGAGATCTACAGAGATGGGTCAAGATTTATTAGATCAATGTCGTGGAGAGAAGGTTGTAAACTTGTGTACGGCATCATCACGCAGACAGAGTCAACTCAGAACAACACTTTTATTATATAAAAAAAATTAAAGTTATTACATTAGCAACGTATCCAAGAAAAAAAGACTTGAACACGTACCGAAAACCAGTTTCGTTGAGTAATAGTATCTATTACGCGAGAACTATTGGGCTATTAGGCCAAAAAACAAACTTTCTTGCAGAAGTAATGTGCCAAGTATAATTTTGATTAGAATACCGTTAATTTTACTAATACTTTCAGTGTAAAAGTATTTCGAGTTGGTATCGCAGGTAAAGGCGGTCTTAGGGAAAGCAATTTATGCGCATTATAGCTTTTCTGCAAACAAGCGGGTTTTGCGGCAAAATTTTTTTCAGCAATTTAATGAAATTGTACACAACTATAGCTTTCAGAGCGAGATCTCATCATTGGATCTTTTTCCGCGCTGTCCTGCCTTTCAGAATAGAGCCAGAAAATAAACTACACTCAAACGCTTGTGTCGAGGCATACATGTAAGTACCTAATATGTTAAAGAGAAAATGAGAGTATATTTTATTGGTAAACTTATAACTTCTTTTCAGCTTTAAGAATATAAAGTCAATTGTATCACATTGTTCCAGCCTGACTGATTAACACAACATGGCTATTTCTACCAAGTAAGCGTGTAAGGAAACTTGTGTCATACACCGTGGACGTGTATCTAACTACACCATTAAATCTTCGACGTTTGCATACAGCTGCTCGTCGTACATTGTCATGTTGATCAGCTTCTGCAAAGGAAAATAATATAATAGTCAGCATCATTAAAAAAGTATTTCTCTTACGTGGGAAGCGCTTATCCTCAAAAGAAGTCAGCTATTCACACCAACTTGAAAACAAATTAAAGGAGAAAGTATTTCATGGCGTCGTCGTCTGCTACTCTTTGCGCGTCTCAATGTAGTTTTGCAATCATCCTATGATCTTTTAATTAACCATGAAGTGTTAATTGTCATTGAGACATTCTAGTTCGCTTCTTTGCTGTTTTTCGTGGAGTGCTAGCTTCAGTGACATAACAAAAAGATGCAATCCAAACTTCGTAAAATTACAGAGATGGGTACATATTACTGCGCTATCTAGGCTCAATACTGTTAAGTTTAATCCTAATTAGCTGAGCCTAAGCCAGTCGGTCCTTCGTGAAAAGAAACTTTCATGTTGATCAAAATTCTGACCTTGTGTAGGGTTTCCATGTCCTTAAGCTGATTTTTCAATTCAGTGAAAGTTGGTCTTGCGTCTGGGTCATTCTTCCAGCATTTCATCATGATCTGATACCTGGTATTGTTCAAATGATTTGTTTAAGATTTAAAGAACGTTTCCTTGTACGACGAGGGAGAACAAGTTAGCAAAGAAAACTTACAATTTTTCATCGACGTGTTGTGGTTTAGGCATCCTGTATCCATCCTGAAGTACGTTGGCAATTTTTCTTCCATCCATTCGTGGGTAAGGTGAACCGCCTGGAAGAACCATAAGACAATCCAAATATGAATGTAACGGAAAACAGACCTTCATTGAAACACCACCTGTGTCAGTTGCGGAGTTTGAGGTTGCATGGGGAAGCTCATTACGTTTGTCTAACTGAACACGATACGTTGTAAATATACAAAAAAAACAAAAAACAAATATATCCTCATAAACTTCCATTCGATGTTACCTACGGTAAAAATCTCGTACAGCAAAACTCCATAACTCCATCTGTAGAATGACAAATCAAACAAATATAAATTAGGTGACTGAAGACATTAACATTATGTGCGACAACTAAAGTATATGTATTCTTTGACGAAGCATAGAATTCAAGTCCTAATTAAAATTGATAACATTGTTCATAAACTGCTACGGGTAATAATCGGGTATACTTACACGTCACTTTTGGTAGTATATTTACCATACAATAAGGCCTCATAAGCTGTCCACTTCACGGGAAGACGGCCCTAAAGATTTTAAATATCACTTTGTGAAACAGCTCGAGAATTATAGGAAGCGAGTAGTCAAAAACAGTGATATTTAAAGTTATACTCGTATACGCATGGCTGATAGTTTCATTAGGGTCCCAAGGAATTCATGATCGAAATCAGGAATACATCAGCTTTACCACAACAATGACTGTGAAAGATCAACAAACTGAACGATATGTAGTACCGCCCCCACCTCCCCTCTTTCTTGATTACCTTAGTCTTTCGTTCATAAATATTTTCTTGCTGCACATCTCTGGCCATTCCGAAGTCTGTCACTTTACACGTTTCCTTTTGTCCAACCAACACATTGCGGGCCGCAAGGTCTCGGTGAATGATCTAAGAAAGAATTGATGCAACGGCAAAAATTAGCGATTGCAGAAGAAAAAGAACTGAAATGGTTCAAGAAGGACAATAGAAATGTTTAGCAACATAATATGGTGTGCGTATTTCTCTTCCTTCCAGAGGGCAGAAAATTAATTTACAATAATTACTGCCTGATATTCCAAAGAGAAGCAAACTACTTTACTCGTGCAATACGTAGTTATTTCATAGAACGCTTATCTTAAGTTTTTAATCTAAATAGGATTCTCTAGTGTAGCAGCGACCAAAGACGAATTTTTAAATTTCAAGTTTTAATTACTTTTCCTTTTTGTCACTAAAATGGATATTTGTTGTTCACTTAGTTTGGGCTGAATATCTCAAAAGATCCTATTCATTCACGTCTCTGCCTTTGCGTACACGAGAGAAACCCAGATATTTTATTTTAATGGGGTGTACTTGCAACGATACACAAATATCGCCATTAAAGTAAAACTTAGATGATGACGTCAAGATTGTGAGGGTTCCCGCCCTAAAAAAAATAGCGTCAACAACACGGTAAGAATACGTTTGCATCTCCCGGGCGTGATCGAGTGAAGACATTACATTCTATGCAAGACAAAGTTCAACATGACGATACACCCTTTAAGAAGGCTTTAAAATTATTTGTCTTTTGCGTTTTTTTTTAATTAACCTACAGATTTTGAGGACAAGTAACTCATTCCATCAGCAATTTGCCAAGCAAACTTCATCAGCTGCTGTGACGTCAGATTTGTTTGTGGTTTGATATCCGGGTCTTTGTAATAAGTGTCTTTTAATCCACGGCTCTTTCTCAGATAACCCAGCAGATCCCCAAAAGGCACATATTCAATCAAAACCAACAGTGGTTCTAAAGAAATTAAACAATTTAAATGATATATTTCTCTCTAAAAAAATGGCAATCAATAAAATAAATGAATAGCCCAGTCATGGTCAATACTTTTGAAGAAATTGCACGAAAACAAGATGTAGTTTTACGAAGAGATGGTGAAATAATATGTAACGGTCTCATACGAAGGTACAGACCAAATATTCCGTCACAAAACGCGTTTCTGCTCGTACAACAGAATGGTCTGTTCAGTGGCAAATATTTGGTCTTAGTCTATCAGTGAATCCAGGAGCGTCCATGTTGGCTAAAAAAAGATAAAATTATCTTATACAATGGTTGTTTGTTGTGCTTCATCGTGAAGCAGTGACTCTTCCATTGAAGTAAATTATCAACAACAAGAAAGCGTTAAAGAGTTAATCATAAGCAAAATATGTACAACAAAATTAGACCCGCATAACCAAAGCATACCGGATTCAGTAACACATCCCAGAAGTTTAATGACGTAAGGATGTGGTTTCAGCTGCTTCATTGTGTCAAGTTCTTTCATCAGATCTCTCTTGTCCGATTCAGTAGCGTTTGCTGGAGCATTAAAAACAAGGAGTAAAATTTGGTTAAAGGGAAGATTATGCGAAATGCCGAAATAATTACATACATATGAAATGGCAAATAGCTAAAATTATACGGTAACACGGTAACTCGGTAACATTTCTTGAATTACTGTAGGCCAAGACTGTCATTCAATTTACGGTACAAAAGCTCACCTTTCAGCATTTTAATAGCCACTGTGGTCGTTTCAGGACTCCCTCGAAGTCCTACTGCTGTTCCCTTGGCAACCTGACCAAAAGCACCTTTACCAATGATTTTTTCTATGGTCACGTGATGTCTTGGAACTTCCCAGCAGCGTGTTAACGGATGAAGAGGCACGTAATCAGCACCTGGAGCTGTTCTTTGTGCTTTTCTATCATCTTTGTTGGCTTCTATGAGATCCATGTATTCCGCATGAGGCTGGGTGAGTTTTCTTGAATCGGGCTGACTTGGTTCGATATCTTCTAATCCTGTTCCATTCTATTAAACCAACATACCGTTAAGGTATTCATACAAAAATCTGTTATTAATCCCAGTAAAAAGTTTCACATGGTTATAAAAATCAGTTTACCCATTTTCATCACACAAACCTTTACATTCTTGCATAACAAAATATTACAAATGGTTTATAATTTCTTTTCCTTATTATTACTAATATTTTGTTCTCTGCTTTTGAAACTATCATATCCAGTGATCGAGGTTCATAACATATTTGCCGAAGCTACAAACTGCAACATGAAGATTGTCGATTGGTAGTGCAATTTTTTGACAAATACACGCACAAAAAAACTCTTGCTGTACTCAGCTGCTAGACTTACGTCTTGAATATATGGCGTCAAGAAAATAAGACAGCCAAAACTGCGAAAAAACAATTATTTAGAAAGCAAATATCAACTGGGTGCAGACCAGTTAGCGATCTATGAAGTGAAGCCACGCAGTTGAACCAGGGACAACCGAAGGAAAATCCATGGAGTATCTTGGTAAAGGACATGATTCTAGGACAGAGGCCTTATCGAGTCTTACTTCCTCCCCTTTTTCATTGTATCTTCCACTAATGCAATATGCTTTTTTTTTTTTGTAGAACTACACCTTCTTTCCTTCTCATTTTCTGCAAGCATTTATTTCTTATATAAAGTAGAGGTAATGTGAGATTACATAGTTTCTGGCCACATTAACATGACCTCAATGTCTTAGCTGTTACTTACGTCGTAAACACCTCTTTCATCTTCATAAGT